TATTTTACGAGACAAAATATTTTAAATTTCTCATTTATATTTGTGGCAATAAGCAGGGTTTATTATAGGCACATTACAAATAGAACTTAAGAATGAATTACTTGTCTATAAACATCAATTGAGGCAGAGGTGGGAATTGTGTGACCCTCCAGATGTTTTAAGCTACCATTCCCAGCCTTTTGTACCATTAACTGTGCTGGCTAGGGCTGGTGGAAAAGTTAAAATCCAGTAACATATGTAGGACCACACAACTCCCACTCTGCAGTAAGTTTGTCTATGCTGATATTGGACCAAAGTTTTCATGCTTCAAATCAGGGGAGGACAACTGATACCTTTGAGATGTTTCTTGCTTACATCTTCCATCACCCTAATCAGGACACCCAGTGCTAAGAGACTACGGTCCTAAACACACTGCAGAAACAATCCTGTTTGAGCCTGCTTTAACTGTCCTGGCTCAATGCTAGGGAATCTGGGAACTGTAGTTTTGTGAAACATTAGGGAGACTTCTCTGTTATAGAGCTCTGGTGTCACAACAGACTACAATTCCCAGGATTCCCTAGCATTCAGCCAGGGCCAGTAAAGCAGTCTCAAACTGGATTATTTCTGCAGTGTGTTTTGGACCTACAAGTACTGAAGCCCAAAAACATCTCATTAATCCCTGCTCTAAATCAAGCCCTTTCTTTTGCCAGTGAATAATTTAAAACTTTAAAATTCCAAAATTTCCTTGCCCCAAAAGAGACACTGCTTTTTTGCCAGTAGAACTACCATAACAATTAAAACCTATTTCAAGTATTAGCCTAGATGTGACTCCAGCTAACACAATTATGGAGAAAGAAATTGGTATGAGGTTCAATTTCAATTTGCAAAGTTAGGAGAATCATACAGTTGAAAAGAACACTGAGGGGCATCTAGTAAAAGAATCCACTGCTAAAGAGAAAAACCCCAATATTTTCTTCTCCATAGTTCTCTCCTTAAGTACCTTCCTTGCAGCCAAGATTATTGGGTTTCAGATGAAAACAAAGCTCTCAGAACAAGTTGCAGGAAGTGAGCCTCAAGTGTGCCCCTTTTTGCTGTTTTCAGGCACCTAGAGACCCATCTCATCTCTTTGCTGTGTGTAATTCCAACAGTTATAAATGTTGTTGTGTGTAACTGCTATCACATCAATTTTCTCTCCTATATTTTTCAAATAAAACTTCCAGTGACAAAATTCTAATACAGAATTGGACCAACTGGACTCCCCACATTGATGTAAACAGCATTTCTGATTCTGATATGCACAAATTATTCCATTATACAGCACTGAGAATGTAGTTTTACACTGTTGACACAACTTTTAAAATATTTCATTCTTTCAGGTTATGGATGTTTTCCAAGCTGATGGTATTTGGGGAAAATTTTTCTGTTTTTAATCTTCTGTATACAAATCTATCTAAAACTAGTCTAAAACTAAGTGATATACTTTAGCTTTGACCCCAAAACCAAGGACAGCATTTTACTTCTATAAAATAGTCATGGAGTCCTATTATTTTGTCTCTACGATCTATAGAGTATTTCCATAGAAATGTTTCAAGACAGACACCAGTCCAAAACACATTGCAGAAATGAGATCACTTTAACTGGCCTGGCTTAGTGCTAAGGAATCCTGGGAATTGTAGCTTATTGTGGCACCAGAGCTCTCTGACAGTGAACAATAAATGTCTCACAAAACTACAGTTCCCAGAATTCCCTAGTATCGAGCCATGGTAGTGAAAGCAGTCTCAAACTGGATTGTTTTTGCAGTGTGTTTTGGACCACTGACAACATTATTTCAAGTGCACCATGCATGCAATCTGTGTTGATGCAGGGATGAAAATGGGCCCCTGTCCACTGCACAGTTGCCCATCCCATTCTAAAATAGTGCTATTTCTATGGTGGTCGTTTTGACAGTAAAAGGCATATATTCTGACCTACATCCAGTAACCAGTAGTTACAACAGATGCTCCCTTTTCTCCTTCCCTCATTATTATCCCAAACCCTGCTACAAAGTATTTTCCAGCTCTCCAAAGATGATCACCTCCTTTTGCTTCTGCTAGATTTTAATATTTCACTTGATGGTGAACAAAGTTTGAATCTTCCCCTTTATTTCTAATTATGGGCCTTTGCAGACTGCCAGAAATAGTGGAAATTGAGTCCACTTTAAGGGTTAGGATTAGGGTTAGGGAATCATGGGAACTGTATTTTATTGTGGCACCAGAGCTCTCTGACAAAGAAGGTTGAATGCCTCAGGAAAAAAAACAATTCCCATGACTCCTTAGCACTAACCCTAACCCTTAAAGTGGACTCAATGTGCACTATTTCTGGCAGTCTGCAAAGGCCCTATGAAACAATGATTTTAGCAGTTATTTGGGATATTTAAATTTTCATTTTTTCAGAAGACTCTTTATAATGAAGCCATGTGTAATTTAATGCTCTACAATCAAAGCTGCCTGCCATTCTAAAAACGTTTGAAATAAATTATTAGTGTGAACTCAAAATTATATTAAAAATTGGTCAGTTTGGGGGGTTGCAGACTTCCAGAAATAGTGCAAATTGAGTCCACTTTTAGGGTTAGGGTTAGTGCTAGGGAATCATGGTAATTGTTTTTTTTTTTCTGAGACACTGAGCCATCTCTGTCAGAGAGCTCTGGTGCCACAATAAACTACAGTTCCCATGATTCCCTAATCCTAACCCTAACCCTAAAAGTGGACTCAATTTGCACTATTTCTGGCAGTCTGCAACCCCCCTTAGTCTCCACAGGCCAAGCAGTCAAATAGTTCCAATTTTCTAAAATTCTCATCAACAATATAAAACTCAACTGCAATGTGAGAAACCATCATTTTATGTTTACATAGTAAAACTGACTTAGAAGTAACCTCAGCAATACATTATTTCTATTGATACAGCAGGTAGGTATAATATTTCAAATATTGAAAGCATTTATACAACCAGTGTGCAGGCACTGTAAATCATAGAGTACAGTCACCCCTTCGTTCTCGTGGACTTGAAATCCGCAGATTCAAATATTCACATAGGGTGATCACCTTTAATTTCAATGGGGCGTGTACCCATGGGTGTGTGCCCCATTCAAGCCTATGGTGCTTGAATAGTGGCGAGTCTCCGTTTTCGTGGAGGGGTCCAGAATGGATTTCCCGCAAAAATGGAGGGCCAACTGTAATGTCTATATACGCTTGTACAAATAGACATTTTCTTAATGGTATTCTTTCCATTATCAAGAATACCTGAGATCGTATACCTCTCACTAATCATTTCTTCTCTTTCTTCTTCTTCTCCTTACTTTTTTAAAAAGATGAAATAAAGGAGTCATGAGCTGCAAATTTTTTCTAAACTTTGTTTGTAACTTACAATTTGAACCACTCTTTGAGTAATGCCTTAACCATACAAGAAATATCACAGATAAAACAAGGTAAGAAATGTATCATTTCCCTGCTTGCTTTCTATCTGTCAAAGCTCCAATTGTGTTTCCCGAAGGAAGTAATGTGTTTATTCTGATTTTCTTTTGGTTACTTCTGCTATATTTTTAAAGTAACAGATCAGATGTGCTCAACTGTAATTGGAAAGTAAAGAAAGTAAAGAAAATGCTTACTGGAACACTAACTGCATACTGAAGTCCTTGTGGAAGTCTGTCTTGTCCCTCCATCTCATCATCATTTTTCACCGTTTCCTCATGAACCATGAGATCATCATGTGGAATCATTTCTTGTTGTCGAAGTTCACTTTCTTGTAGCACTTCACCTGGAGAAAGGATTTCTTGATGTGCCATAGCCCGGTTTTGAAGGGCTGCTTCCTGCCGTTCCACAGAAACTGATGATTGGTCAGATGCAGCACCCATTCCAACCATATCCCTAGATGACTGCATTTGCTCTATGCTGCCACATTTAAGAAATAATCCTCCCAGTTTATCTTCAATGTTCATTCTTAAGTGCAATAACCTATGGGAAAAAATAAATAAATCCAGAATTAGCAAGCTAAGCAGAGTTCTCAAAAACTACATGCGGGGACAAAGAAACATGTTCCTGTCTCATTGAGAGAGCTATTCAAAACATTATGGCATTTCCCAATTAAGTACATAGTCCACAAGTAATATATGACGCCCTAAATAGTAGAAAAATCTCAATTCAAAATACTGCAAGTTTCTCCCTAAGGGGATAACAAGATAAAGCTACAAAGCTAAAATCTGTACTCATGTTGACTACTAGAAATATTTCAGAATGAGATAATTAATGAACATTAAAGTTAAAACGGGGGGCATGTAGTTTACCTTAGACCAGGGGTAGGCAACC